GAAGGGAACCAGGGAGACGTACATCTCGTGTCGTCATAGCCTCAATTCCTAGGAGCTGCTCAATTCTTTACTCTTGCGGGTTTAGTGTTTGAGGGCAACTTTTATGCTGAAAGGACCGATATGTTTTAAGACTTGTGTCACGCGGGCTCATGCTTCGTTCGGGGTTCCAGCAACAGCTTTCGCACTGATGTTCTCCATCAACCTTCCCTCACAGCAGCTTCAAGTGACTAGTGACTTGGTCAACTACGCTTTTGGGCCCGAGAACACCCAAAACTACAGCGCTGCCAGCCGCAATTTATGTCCTTCCGGCGTCGTGTATGATTCTGATGTAGAGCCCTAAGCTAATGGCTTATACTTAAAGCGCTTCTAATTCCTCCTCGGACTTAACTTACACTGCAGCCTTTAGCTGTCCTCCCCATTCCTAACGTTTTAGTAAAGAGGCTGAGGTGACGTAGTTAAGTAGGTATTTATAGCCCCCATCTTCGCACCATTCCAATTCTATCGACTGCTGCAGGCACCCGAATACCGGCGAATTCGAATTTGCGATGGACTGGACTTTACGAGCTCGTTGCTAAGAGTACCGAGTACTTCGCCCGGGCTGTTATCTCACGGGGAATCACGAATTGGGGAAGTTCCAGGGGTCTCCGGCCCGTTTCCCTTCTCTACCTAGGTAATTTCGCCAAACTCTGGGCAGAGACTAGGCATGTTGACTTGTAACCACCAGGGAGTCTTTATACGCGGATCAACATTATTCCGAGAACATAGCAGCCAATTCATCGCTCTTTACCTCTCCGCTGAGTCCACACCCCGGAGTATTTATGAAATTTGTAATGGAGCGGGGAGAAAAGCCCCCATGGGGCGGGAGGAGTATGGAACTATATAAGAGACACGTCGAAGAGTTGTACTTTCATGGAGTGGTCACAAGCGAGGAAGACGGCAATCGCAAAGAAAGGTCCAGCTTCCTAATCTATTCGGAAGAAACGCACCAGCCATGGCTCCCGACCAAAAGCAAGAGCTGCATCTTACTCAAATCCAACATCTCGAAGGCCATGTACAGGAAATCGACGAAGACCCTCACCGTCTCGCATTGGAAGACAATCCCGAGGAGGCGCCACGCGTCGAGTGGTCCGTTATCCTCGCTGTATTTGTGAGTTGTCTTTCTTTCCATTGCTCGACGCAGCCAAAGTCCACTCCAGTCGTGACTACGAGCTCGAGCTGTCACTTACCGAATGAATAGTTTCTTGGCCTCTCTTTCGTCGGCCCCGTAGCCATGGGCTTTCTCATGATGTCGTCGGTCCTGGTGCAGATCGGAACTGAACTCGGGGACCTTACTCCCATAGTCTGGATGGTTGGAGGATGGTCCATCGCTGCATCAGTGTCCTTCTCAATCGCCGGTGCATTGAGCGACATCTTCGGCCGTCGATGGATCGTTCTCTCTTCGCAACTTTTTTGCATTATTGGTTCAGTATGTCCTGTCTTCCCCGATCTGGTCTACCCCCAGCTCATTTGACGACAGATCGTCGCCGTCACTGCTCACAAAACTGTTACCCTGGTGCCCGCTGAGACCTTGATTGGAGTTGGGTGCGGTGTGTCTTGGACCGCGGTTGCAGGTATCCAAGAGCTCCTACCGAACAAATATCGGTAAGAAATTTGTAACTCCTAGGCAAACTGACAGAGCTGAATCCAAAGAACAGGGGTATCGGTATGGCTTGGACGGAACTACCCATCAATATCCCATGGGGCACCGCCGCAGTGATTTTCGCCAACCTACTCACTGAGCATGCTTCCTGGCGTTGGATCTACTACATCGCCATCATCTACAATGTAATCAGCTTGGTCGGGATTGCAGTATTCTACTTTCCACCCACGCGTCCTCAGGAGGATTATGAAAAATCCCGCTGGAAGGAATTTCTGGAGCTAGACTGGATTGGAGCCATACTCTACGCCGGCGGATTGACTGTCTTCCTTCTCGGTTTCAGCTGGACAGGGCAATCCGGTCACGCCTGGGCCAGTGCTTCGGTTATTGCACCGATCATCATTGGCTTCGTGGCCTTGACGGCTTGTTTGGTGTATGATTTCACCCTGGCCAAAGCCCCGCTCTTTCCATGGGAGCTCATGCGAGACTTTCGCGACTACACCGCCTACCTGGTCATTATCTTTGTCGCAGGAATGATTTTCGTCGCCATGGCAGGGCTAGGACCTCAAGCTTCGCTGTACATGTTCAGCCACGACCCGATGGAAATAGGGCTCATCGCCCTCCCCTATGGATTTATGCTGAACGTCACAGCTTCACTGATCCCTGCCTTAGTCCACAAGATTGGGTATATCAAATATCAGATGATCGCACTGTTAGTGTCCCAGACCCTTTTTGTGGCCCTGTACGCAGTCGCGGTCCCGCGCAACAAATCTGCATGGATGGCCTTCCTTTGCTTCGGGCAAACCCCATTCTCCGGAATCACGGGCTTGGCCTATATTGCTGCCGGTCTTAACGTCAAACAGAAACATCTGGGCATCGCCATGGGCCTCATCGGTACTTTCCGGTGTGCTGGTGGCAGCGTCGGCAACGCCATCTTCAGCACGATTCTTAACTCAGTTCTTGATGGACAACTCGCTCCTCGCATTACCAACGCTGCTACTGCAAATGGATTCGCTACTTCAGGGCTGGAGACACTGATCCCAGCTGTTCTGGAGGATGGCGCGGGTGTTCCAGGCGTCCTAGAAGCTGTACCAGATATTACTCCAGAAGTGGTAGCTGCTGTGCAACAAGCCTTTAAAGAGGCATACGGCTATGCCTTCAAACAAGTCTTCTACGCCACCATTCCATTCGGAGTCATTGCCATCGCTTGCGCAGCGGTCCTCAACGACCCGTCTAAGTATCTCACCAACCATGTCGCCGTTCACATGCGCAAGACCGTGCTTGATCATCATGGACATGACAATGAGCAGACGGCGGAGCATAAAAACTCTGAAAAGGCCGCGCCTATTGAACCCAGGGAGTAAATGCTTCTGCGCGATTAAAGGAGTTCACGTTTCAACACCGAGCTATGGTTCTCAATGTTTCATTGAGGCGAGAAATTAAGACCAAACGGCCCAAATCGAAGCCACTAGAACTCGATATCTGATCGCTGGGTAGCCATGCCTCAGTATTGGAGTGCAGCAAAGTTACAAGCATAGTCATTCAGTGGCCTGCTGGATGCGCAATTCTACACCTTTAATCTCTTGAAGCCTTTAGGCCATCAACTTAGCTCGTGAAATAACTCGAGTGCCGTGGCTTTTTCATTTCGTTGTGGTACTCCGCCTGGGAACATTGTGCTCTAGCACTCCTTGATGACTTGGATCAAGCTATGGAGGGATACTGTGATATAACAATTTTATTGTTGTTTTGATTGATCAATCTTTTCCGCTTTACATGAGATTTGTATTAGAGGCAGACATGATCGCGACCATGACGAGGTTATGATACTTCTGGCAGAGCGTGGATGAAACCTCATGTCAGTTGAACAACAAACCGAGCAGTCCGAGAATGCGCTGCGTAGAATCACCATCCATCAATGGTTTTCATCACCCATGGTCTCGGGCGATCTCTACCTCTGACCCGCTTCGCTTCACCTCACCATCCGGGGACCGCTCTTTGGCCGCCTTTTAAGATCCTTCTCGGGTTCTCCGGCCTCCAGCCGCTTAATGAGTTCCTCAGGGACAAAGTCGACTCCCATAGGATTCATGGTAAACTCGGGGCCCTCCATAAAGGCCGTGGCTTCCTCATTGGTGTCGTAGTTGTCCACCTGGGACTCGACTTCATTTCCATCCGGGTCGGCGTAGTATAGGCTGGTAGTGGGGCCGTGGTTGACGCACCACGAAGGAAGGATGCCCAACTTCTTGCGTTGGAGGTAGATAGTCATCAGGTCCTCGAGAGTGTCGTAGGCGAAGGCGACATGGGCCATTCCACATGAGTGTGCCGCGTCGGCCACACGGGGTACAGCGCCATCGAAGCCCGTAATGGCAATTCTATGGTGTTCATCGTCGTACGAGATGAAACTAAGTTTTTCGTTGCCCCAGACTACTCTTCCCCCAAGGAAGACCAAATACCAGTCCACCATTGCTCGATAATTTTCAGGCTTCGTTCGAAGCACAACATGGCAAAGCCTCGAAGGGCTCTTAATCGGTCCCTCGGCGGTGATTTTCGTCATGATTGGTAGAAATAATCTTGGGTCACAAGGAGTTTTATATGATGTCGTACTGTGTTGAGATGGAAAATTCTAGTGGCCATGAAAAAGCGGATTGTGTCAAAGCATATATATATTGTTCTCAACGAAACCCCTGGTCACCTATATCGGAGATGTCGAAGCAACGAGGCTTCACTCCGGTCAGACGACGCCAAGGCGCACTGCCCGCGACAGAACTTCCTTCTAGAGAAAACGGCAGCCCCCGGGAATACCGGGGGCAGAACAATGTATCGAAGCAAGATCTTCAAGATGCCGACTTCTCCACCTGGAAAGAATGGAAGAACCTGTCACACGCCACCCTCCTCCCGCGGTGAAAAAGACTCAATCCACAGAGGCGCCGCAAGCTTTTGCAGAAGACCACTTTTGATACGTTGTAACCTCAATTGAGCTGTACGCCGGCCAAGGGAGGCGTTTGTGGACTGGACCGGGAAATTCCCAACATGGTATAGCTGGCGTCGAGAACCTCAGCACCCCGCGTCCCCACGATCCAGACTCGGGGCACAACCCCAGCATTTGATTCGCAATGCTTGACCCGCTGCGACTCATTTCGAATCTCAAACTAGAGTAGGACGCCGCAAGAAGAGCCCCGAGGTTACTGCGCAAGCGGCCAATGTGCTCTTGCCAAAGCCGGGTGACTCTACTCCTCGACATCGGTCTAAAATTTTCATGTTGTCCCCGCGCCCAAAAAACAGTTTACAGCAATTGTTTTATGCTCATCACTTCGTTCGTGGAAGCAATCCGTTGTATCCGTGAAAGAGGTTTAGCTCCATATTCGTCATGGCAGATTTGCCGCTATTCTGCACATACTGTGGACGAGGCTTTAGTCGACACGAGCATCTCCAGCGCCATATCTTCACGCGTAAGCTTCTGGCCGATGTCACTCCCATTCACATGATCTTGCGGCTAATGCTTGCTGGAACAGACACCAATGTCCGCCCTTTCGAATGCCATGTCTGCAAATTGACATTCACAAGGAAGTAAGTAGCCCGAAGTCATGCTGTGTGGAATCATGGCAGCATACCTCGGTACACATATACTCATGTCGTCAGTGATCTCTTAAGAAAACACTCCATGGTCCATCAGGCTGGCGCTAGAGATAAAGATAAAGCAAATGTCGGTTCAAAAACACCATCCGAATTGAGACTACGAAATGGTCCCGCTTGCGTCAACTGTGCCAAAACAAAGATCAAGTGTGACGGTAAGAAGCCATGTGCTCGATGCGTAGCGAAAGGGATGAACTGCATGACACGGCCACGTAAGCCGCGTCGCCCACGATCGAAGCCAGTTGTACCCGCGTCGACCGGCCCAAATGGCACCACGACCACGACCACCACGAAACCCGGTTCAGACGCGCCAGATCATCTGTCAAATCAGCACCAAGCCGATAGCGAGCCTGCGGATTCCAACGACGCGCTCAGCGCCTCGGGAAGTGACAACCAGGGCGAGATGAGCACAATACCAACAGAATCTCACTCCCCTCCACAGCCTGCGACCCATGACATGGCCGACCAGAGTGCAGGCTCTAAAGACCAAGCACTCATCTCCCGCAGTACTATGAAGCAGCAAATGGAAGATCCTGATGATTCATTCATGCATAGCCTGACGATAGCCGACCCCCAGGTGCCACTCGACTTGATGGACATTGACTCAAGTCTACAGATGGACCCACAGAACAACCTATCTGGAGGCTACACCATGTTTACACTACACGCGAACGAGGATTGGGAATCGTTGATGGGCATGTTTGGCTCAATACCAGACAGTCCACATCTCTTGTCGACGCACTCGAATACCACAGCAAAGCAAGATTCTTTCTCAAAACAACAGTCCAAGGAGCCTAAGTTACAACAGCAGGGTAATCATTACTCGGACCATACTTCCGTGAAGGACCAGCATGATCCTTCTACCACCATGTTTACGCGTTGGGCCGACTCGCAGCCCTTCGTGCCTTCCTACCTTCCAGTGGCGAAAACACAGGTCGAGTCGGGTTCCTCTGAGCTACCGGAACAATCCTTAGCAGCCACTCACAAACATGCTCACGAAAGCCCCGACAAGCCGTCGACCATGGCATGGCCGGCAGCAGGCCTGTCAGTCCCAACCACGTCCCCACTCGTTTTAAGCCCAGCCCAAGACTCGCCAATCGATAATAGGACTACTGTCGATTTTCCGAAAGACGTCCATCACTGGACCATGCTACAATGCTGCCCATTCGACTTGTCGATTGCCCCAACAAGGGCGAAAGATAATCTGGTTTACCTCGAGCGACTCTCGAAAAATGGAGACTCCTGGCATGGGGCGGACGGAGCTCCTGATGGGCAAGCATTTGATATGACTGACGATTTTCAGAGAACTCCAGTGTCCTTGATGACTCGAGAGAAGATGTCTGCTATCATTCAAAGCTTTTTTCGAAGAGCCCTAGACATGCATGGCTTTGGTTATACTCCGCGTACCTTTGCTTCGCAGACTGCTGGTGGATGGTTTACATCTTCAACTTTTATTCTTTTACCACCTCCAGCAAGCATCGAACGATTTTTGTACAACTATGTCCAGTTTACTGATCCCTTTTACCCGCTCATTCCGGCGAGACATTTCGATCCGAATCAACTCGTTGATGACGAGAACGAGCAAGCAGCAACGCTGATGTTGCTGTTGATGATAGCGTCTGGCGCCATGATGGATTCGGCGAGCAGGTCCATACGCTTTGCCGCTGGACTTACCGAGGTCTCGCGGATCGCACTCTCTGACATTCTGGAGAAGCATAATAGTTTGTCCACCAGCGAGCTGATCCTCAAATGCGCCCTGCTATTCATCGTTCAAGCCGCTTGGAGCGGAGATAAGTGGCAGATGGACATCGGGGAAGGCCATCGATCAATGTACATTGCGGTATGTTCGCGCTTTGCTCTTTGTCTGTTTCGCAAGGCTTGAATGACCTGAGCATCGTTCTCCGATTACCGGGAATTGGTGGATGCTGACTTTGCCTTCTTAGATGTTGCGGAACTCTCGGTATCTCGCACAGCAAACCGTGGCAACGCCAACGGGTGTGACCGAACAGGACCTGGACGCGCTTTGGAAGGCGTGGATAAAATTCGAGAGCCGGAATAGGTATGACCCTGTCTCTCGTCCATGAGAAAGAAACTAACCGCAGTCAACACGGCAGACTTGCTTATGATTGGGTTCTAGCCGACCAGGAATTGTGCCTTTTTCACGGGCACCCAACCAAGTTCTCCGTCGCTGAACTGGAAGCACCACTTCCTGATAAAGACGAGCTGTGGCTAGCACGTAATTCAGAGGAGTGGAAACAAGTCCTTGACCACGAGGATGGAGTTATCCAGACTTGCTCTGAAGCTCTCTCTCAACGCCCCAAGCATTCTCTTCGACTTCTATTCCAGCTCTTCCTCGACAATGACCTTAATCAATCTGGCCTGGCCATAACGCCGCTACGACTCCGGCTTCTGCTGTATCCGATACAAACGCTTATTCAACAATATTGTCAACTTCTGAACATCTTTTCCGACTCGGGAATTTCAGTTACGGTTTCCAAGACTATGACCCGAACATCATCCCTTATCCGAGTTGAGGAGATTCAGAATCTCCTACAGAGGTGGTGGTCTCTCACGGAAATGTGCGTGCCAGTTGGTGGAAGGCAACAACGCATGACGGAAGCTAACTACATCCTATACCACCTCATCAGCCTTGACGTTCATACTTCGTTCAAAGAAATGGAAGCATTTGCCAGAGGATGTCGGCCAGACTGGACCTCTTCCCGGACCCCATACACAGCGGAACGATGGATCTACGCAGTCCCTGAGGCGCTTTTCCACTGTGGCCAGATTTTACGACTGGTTCGTGATATGCCTCCTAATGCACGCCCTGTTTGGTGGGCTGCGGCAATATACCGGGTCACTATTGTTCTATGGATCTATAGTCTTTCTTATACGTTCGGGCCTTCCCAGCCTGCCCAGCCGCATCCTGGTTTAGACTCGATCAAACAGCAAGAGCCAATCCAAATCGACCAAGTCTTGTCCAAAGACCCCCGCACGATACAGTTCCTCAAATACAACAGAGGAGATCCTCGTTTAACCAAGTCGGATGGAACATCGGCAAAATTCGACAGTCCTTCTACGGTTCTAGCGCTGTGTATCGCCGCCGTCGACGGCGGACCGGGCAGCTCGTGGTTTGCAACTGGCGTCAAACAGAAACTGGAACACTTGGCCAAATTATGGCACTAACCAGGCTCGGAAGATCTGGCTTGTCTGCTGTGAGCGATGCATGATGATGCACACGAGGAATACTGGAAATGTCTACAGAGGCAAGCACAGGCTGAAATGACACGGCTGTGTGAGAGCACATCGTAGATCAAGGCTTGTCAGCGTCATCAAATTCAATGGTCATATTTGATCTGATTCTGTCTGTAGTTAACTTTCAATTATGTGCAATGTCCGCCAGACCTAGATGTCTGTCCTCCGCTTGACGTGAAATTTGACCGTTTTGGCATGCGGACTCATGATTCCGCGGTCGTTAGAAACCATCAAGTCTGGGGTCGTGGACTCGTCCAGTTGTATGTCGTATCGCGCATACAAGGCCGAGACGACCAGTAATAGCTGCAGGCGGGCAAGGTGGAGGCCAATACAGTTGCGTGGACCAGTACTGAAGGGCCGGAAGGCGAGCTTCATCTCGGGAGTGGCATTACTCCACCGATCAGGCACAAATGATTCGGCGTCCGGGAAGATGCCTTCGTTGCGGTGTGTCGTGTACGCCAGGTTGCAGACTCGTGTGCCCGCGGGCACGTAGGTGTTGCCGATGACCTTGCCGGGAGATATTCGCGGCAGGTTCACGGGGATGGGGCCCCGAAGTCGTAGGGTTTCTTCCAGGACGTTATTTAGCAGAGGCTGTGAAGAAGAAGAAGACGCAGAAGAAGAAGAAAGGGTCAGTCCATTTTCTCTCTCAAAAACATTTGTGACCACAGAACAACGCGCGCGAGGCACTTACCAGCTGCTCCACCGTCTCGAAGAGTGGAAAGGCGTGTTTGTTGGGTACCGCGTCGCGGATTTCTTTGACAAGCCGGGCTTTGATGTCCGGATGGGTGTCGACTTCGTAGAGCAGGTACAAAAGGGTGCTGAGCGACGTTTCGCTCCCGGCTTGAATGAAGAGGATGGCATTCTCCATGAGTTCGAGATCGGTCAGAGGTTTAGTGATCTTCTCGTCCGTGGTTTCGACGACCCGCTTGAGGAGCGAGCCCTCCTTGACGGCGCCAACCTCCAAGCGGGCCCGGAAGTCCTGGATGCGCGATCGTGCGAACTGGATCAGACGCGGTCGGGCCTTGACCGCCTCCTGCACGTATGTCGTTGGCAGCCACTCGACAAATGGAAACATGCCCCTCAACGCCGAGATGTTCTGCACTGCGTCCGCGTCCTTGGCCTCCTGTATGTACTCGCCTTGGAGGTTGTTGAAACACTTGTCGAAGGCCAATTCACTGATAATGTCCAGGAACATATGATTGAAGGGGTTGTACACGTTGACCGGTTGAGGAGACGATTCGATGATTTCGAGAGCTCGCTCCATGATTGGAATCAATCTACTCTGTGTCTTTTTGATCTCGCTCATGGCAAAGGCATGAGACAAGAGACGTCGAATGCGGGCGTGGTCCTCACGATCCAGAGCGTTGAAGACATTTGTCGCACCTGTCACGGTAAAGGCACCGTAAAAGCCCGGGTCTTTGAGGCAAGGATTCGACGATTGTCCGTAAATATCTTTGACGGATGCAATGTCGCCGAACAGGAGCTCATTGGGTCCAATGCGAACGACGTCGCCGTATTTGGTCGACCAGGCATGACGGGTGCGAGTTGACTCGCCACGGACTGAGGCCAAGATGGTATTCCATTCCGTCAGCTTGCCCCAGAATGGCCCAGGAAACTTTGCGAGGGGATGGAACCAGATTTGGTATACGACGTAGCCGATCGTGTAAAGGACAAGGGAGCTGAAGGCCAATAGGTAAACACCCTGCGCAGGATGTTCCGTCAGTGGGAATTTTGCTTCGAGGTTCAACAGAGACATGTTGACCTTATTCATCGTGGTTTGAATCTGAAAAAGTTTGTAGGCGCAAGTGCAAATATAGTGGGAGCAAGGCTTAGAAACAGAAATAAAAATAAAAGACGGATGTCACAAGACGTGAAGCTTCGTCCGCGCTTCGAGAAGCATATTTGGGAAACGAACGCAACGAGTACAATGTTGGCTGGACTTTAGTCCGTCTGCCATCAAGCATTTCCTCGGGCGTCCTCGAGGCCCTGTCTGCCGGGTTTGTCCTCCCTGTCCTCCGCCTCCCCACGACTGTTTCCCGGGGCATTCTCCCCACAACGGGGATTATGCATGCGCATCATCTGAGGCTTGGGGAGCCGGGCACATCGCTTCTTCATGGGGAGCCGAACCCCCAATCCGAGGATAGTGACAAGGTATGCACCGTAAACTCCCCACCGTCATACACCTGGAGCCTAACGTTGGCGGTGCAGAACCCCCTATCTCTGATTATGAACGATCCCAACACCCTCTCTACCTTGCCCTTTTGGGTAATTTTCCGAAGCCCTAGATGTGCTTTGGCTTACCACTGGCCTTTGAGCTAGTTTTGCTATCAGCACACACGAAAACGTGGAAGGGGACCACTTCCCCATGGATCACGTCTCCAGATCTTCATAAAGCCATGTCCCTGTCCCCAGCCGCATTCTTTTTGCAGAGAGTCAGACGAAGACTCAAGACAAGATGGTTGCAGAGTACGAATCCAAGACCGCCGTCCGGAGCGAACCAGCCGGGCAGGTGGACCATATTGACCATGCCCCTGGCCTGGACCACGTTGTCTTCAATGCCCACGATGCGGAGGTCGCGGCTGGGGAAGTTTTGGCCCTAGTTGATACCGCCGATATGTCACGCATAGGCGATCTGAAGCTGGCAAAGGATCACCACGTATGTATTGTCAGCATATTGGGGCCACTCGAGTCCTAACAATGATACGCAGACGGTCCTGTTTCCACAGCCGAGTAGTTCGCCACATGATCCACTCAATTGGTCGTGGATGCGCAAGCATGCTCTGCTGGCTTCACTCTGCCTGGGCTCCTTTCAGTGCGATTTCACTGCCGGCATTATCTCTGCGGTCGTCCTACAGGGAGCCGAATGGAACTTGAGCCCCAACAAGGTCAACGAAGCAAGCAGTCTCAACATTCTCATGATTGGTATCGGTGGTTTCATCTGGATTCCATTCATCAATTTCTGGGGACGCGCCCCCGTATTGTTCTGGACCGCCTTGTTGGGCTTTGCCTTTACGCTGGGATGCGCAGTGGCACCTAACTTCTCGACCTACTACGCCATGCGAGGCTTACAGTCGACCTTCCAGTCGTCCTACCTCTCCGTTGGTCTCGCCTGCATCACCGACGTCTTCTTCTTCCACGAACACGCACGGAAGATTGGTATCTGGATCGCCTGTGTCTTGACTGCGCCCTATTTTGGACCAATCTTTTCCAATTTCATGCTTTACTATCTTGTCGAATGGCGGCCCGTAACGTGGATGATTACAGCCGTGTCAGGCCTCAACCTTGTCCTCACGCCATTCCTGATTGACGAATCGTTTTACAATCGCAATATCCCTGCGGAAAGCCAACCACACAGAGGCAACAAGATATCGCGTATCTTGGGCATTTGGCAGATCCGCAACCACAGCTACTTCATGCCTGTCGGCACTGCGTTTTTGAGGTACCTGAAGGTTTGCCTGAAGCCTTTGGTTATACTCTCGTTCATCTACTTGTAAGTGTCCCTCCCAGTTACCGACTGGATCTCGTCCGCGAAGGAAGTCGAACTGTCTTTCTTCTGCTCACTTCCAGTATACGTAATTGACTGGTGTCCAAAATATAGCCTTCTAGCGTACATGTGGTTTATCGGCACCGGTATTGCTGCGCCAATCCTGCTCCAGACACCCCCTAGCTACGGCGGCTACGGCTTCAGCAATAAGGCCGTGGCGTGCATGTACTTTGCGCCACTTGTGGGCGTCCTTTTGGGGGAATCTTTCGGCCATTTCTTCAACGACTGGCTGGCGTTGAGCTACATCAAGAAGCACAAAGGTGTCTTCGTGCCCGAGGTCCGACTCAAGGCCAGCTTCCTTGCCACAGTGTTCATGGTTCCCGGCCTCATTCTACTGGGCCAAGTCCTGGGCAAACACCTGCACTGGGTGGGCATCGCGTTCGGCTGGGGCATGTACACATTTGGCGCCTGTGTCACCGCTGTCGCCCTGTTTGCATACCTGTCCGATTCGTATCCCACCGCCTCGGGTGAATGCAGCGCCATACTCAATCTCTCGAGGTGTATGGGCGGGTTTGCGGTTGGTTACTTTGAACTGCCTTGGGGCCTCAAGGATGGTTATCCAGTTTCCTTTGGTGTACAGGCGGCACTTGTGGTTTCTTCGGTCTTCTTCCTCATCGGCTTCATGTTTTTCGGCAAGGCTCTAAGAAGGTGGGGCGGTCCCGTTGAGCACTGAATCGTTTCGGTCAGTCCGATCGCCACGAAGATTGAGAGGAAAGTTTGAAGGGTGCTGTCGGCCCGCTGGAATCGCGTTTTGCCTTGACCACATTGGCAATCATGTACTTGCAAATCACCAGTACACCGTAAGTGTATTGACGCGCCCAATTTGTAATTCTGGTCTCTTAAAACCTTCAGAACGCTATCAAGCAAGTGCGCGGGTATATCCCAGGTTCTCGACATATATGCGTCTATAGTTGTTTGCATTGTAGAAGAATGGTTCACAAGGGCCATTTCGCTGGCTGCACAAAGAGAACGATTGAGGCTATCTAACTCCTTGTTCGTGACGAAAATTTCTACATGAGAAAACCAGTTCACTCTCTACACTAGAGTCATTCTAATTTCGAGCGCCAAATATCTTCATCCTTTCCGCCGGAGGAATCATTTCCTTATCCTTTGGCGGACCTGTGGGAGTACCGAACACGAGTTGAGCCTTCAACTCCCACTCCGCAGGGATGTCGAAGGCCTTTGCGACAGCATCATCGATGTGAGGATTGCAATGTTGCAGATTGCAGCCCAATCCCTTGTTGGACAGTTGCGTCCAGACTGCATTGAAATGGGAAAGAATCAGCCTCAGGGCCTAGTCCGTCATGGGGACAGACTTGAAAAGAAATACAGAATAATCTGTCGTCTGTGGGGGGTTTCACTTACTGTAGTATTGGTGCATGCCATTCGTCACGTCTTGCCACGCCTGGATCTTCACTTTATCGACTTCGGTTTTCCCGTAGGAACTTATGACCTTCTCGACACCGCCCTTGACTTCGAAGAATAATACCTGAAAGAGTAATGAGATTCTTGTCAGCCAGTAGCCAGAGAAGCAGTTTTTGGAATTTCGAACGAGAAGTGAAACCATCAAGGGCGTCGAAGCAGTCTTTCTTCCCACCGATCTGAGATCTCTGGCGGCGGTAACTTACTGTTCCATATGCGCCGCGGAATCCTTCAAACCGCGGTTTCCCAAAACCGTTCCAAACATCAGCCCCCATGCTCGGCTGGACGATGCCAATGATGATGTCCCATAGCTTGACATGTTCTTCCCCAAGGATGACGGCAGCACGGGTCGTTTGCGTGTTGAAGGTGGATGGACAATAGAGCAGTGCTTCTTGGACGATTTCGACGATGTCTGAGTCTGGGATAGGAGACTTTGCCTCAAGCTTGTAGATGGATCGGCGAGCCTGGGCCGCCTCGCGAAAGCTTCGGGCGTCTGATGCCATTTGGTTGCGTCTCGGTTGGGGCAATAAATAGTCGATTGCGTGGTTCTTTCGTCAGGCTCTCGTGCAAATTCAAATGGAGCGCTAGAACTGTTCTTATAGTCGTGCAATCTATAGACTTGCTCAATGTTACGTGGTGCAGCGCTCGATGAGGGTTCCTGCTTGGTAAGTATCCCCCCGGGGTATTGCAAAGGCGGAGTGCGCCGAATCAAGCATGGTGGACATGTGGGTACGGGTCAAGGGCTTTCCCACTTGTTATCTGGTCACGAGAGTGCGGCCCGGGGGCATCGGAACAATCTATTGGTTACTCCGAATGTCTACTCCAGTCGCTCGAATGAGCAGTCGGATGAAGATCTGAGATCATAGCGAGATCCCGGCCTGGATGCACTCGTACGGGCATACTTTATGATAGGTATTGAAGGGCTTGAACAATAATAACAGTCAACACTTTGTTGCCGAGCGGCACAATCGGCCACGAGCCCAAGGCCTCCATCTAGAATATCCAAAGCAAGCCTGCGTCTAATGCGAGTGATCCTCCGTCATTTCTATATCACACTGCTGGTAGCCTGGAGCCATTTTCAGCAGCAAGCCACGGATGCGGGCAAGGTAGGCGTATATGCTCTCTGTGCCACACTTTGACAAAGAGCCTCTATGACTTGAGCTCCGTACTCGAAATCTTCCATCTCGAGATAGACTTGCGCGGAAAACCGAGCCCACCATGCATTGCGGTAGAAGATGAAGGCTATAAAAGTCGAATGCTCTGTCACACAGTTGGAAGCGAAGAAGTTCGTGACGGTGGAAACATGACCAAGTGGCACTTTTGCGACCACGCGTTGCGGAGAGTCTGCTGCTGTGGAATCTGGTGCGGACGCTGAGTTATTGCCCATTGGCTGAACCTTGTCGTCATTGTCGTCGTCGGAAACCTCGAGTGGCAGGCGGACATTGACAAGACAACACTCCTTCGTCAACGTATGGGTGTCGTTATCCATGACCTCGGTCCCTAATATCTCCGCAACACGGCGCCCACCGGCATGTGCGAGGTCATGGCAGTATTTCATGATGGCGGCTTCTCCCCCACAGACCTCTTTTCGGAAACGAAGCGCCTCCTCCAGACAGAGAAAAGGCGCGTTGTCGACGCTGCCCACGAATTCGAACTGCGATACGAAGTTGCTTTTTCCAGTTGGTGGAAGTGGGTTGTTTGCTGGTGGTACACCGGGCCGTGGCACTGGAACAAAATAGTGTGATGTAGGGAGTGACGATCGCATGAGATGCTGATTGCGTTCAGGCACATAAAGGACCGCGCAGCCTCGGGGAGCGAACAACCATCTGTGAAGCCACGGTGAGCGATCCAAAACATCATGAGAATATTTCAAGCGTAGTCTTGCCAGCCTACAGAAGGGATATATGGCCTTTCACAACATAGGACTTACTTGTGGCAGTTTGAGACGAAAAAATCTGGCTGAAATTTCAACAAGTCAATGGGGAAGTGGCCAACAGCGTGAGCACCATCGACCAGACTTAAAACGTGCTCCGATCTGGCAACCGCTACCAACCGCTCAAACGGCAGACGCACTCCAGGCAAACTGGCGATGGTCTCGAATAAGGCCACTTTAACCTTGCCTTTGTGAGATGCAAGCGTCTGCTGAAACTTTGCCACCAGGTCATCATCACTGATGGGGTAAGTATACTCGATTTTTACTGATTCAACCGGCGTCGTTTCGACAAGAAAGTCGATCGTCTTCTCGCATGCACCATATATACGATCCAGATATACAATCAGGTCACCCTCTTCGAATTTCAGGTTCCGGAGGATTGCATTCACAGCCATCGTAGCGTTGGCGATGTAGACAACATCTCCGACTGGTACTTGAAGATACTCTGCCATGACAGCTCGAGAAGCATCCAACAGACGAGGATATTCGTAACGGATGTACCGATCCGGTGCGGCTTCGGCGGCATCCTGCAGTGACCGAAGCTTGTCCCTGACGCATTTTACATACGTTCCAAACGAGCCTACAGGGTTTGTGTTAGAACACTAGCTATGCAGCAGAGGGGTATACAGTAGAAGCAAAATACCATGGTTAAGGTTGACGAACCCCTTTTCGAACAAAAAGTGTTCATCGCGCATGCGGTGACCCATTGGCGTCATAGTGCTTGAGATTGTACCTTGAGGGGCATGGGTCGAAGATTGAGGCTGACTGGCACTGCCCATGTTCGGGAAGCCAACCGGAATCCTACACTCGGCTCACAGTCACTGGCATCTGCGGCAAGCTACAACTTGAAACCGCAATGTAGCGTGCCTCGATCTTTTGAGGTATTGAGGAGTAGCTGTGCGGGCGCCCGGCTGGACTTTTCGCCCTTTCGATGCCTCGCCTCAAGTCCCCGCGAAGCTCTTGCAGGTGCCTCAGTCGGAATTATGGTGGGGTACTGAGTGGGGGGCCCTCTTCCAGTTCGAAAATCCGAACCCAATCAGGCGTGCTGTGTTATGTATGCACCTAACTTGGGCTCGGTTAGTGCCTTTTCCTTTTTGATGAATACTACCGAGCACTTGTTTTCCGGTACATGGACGAGGCAGGGGGAAAACCTAATGCCTCACGACAGAGGAGTACTGTAGCCAGCATCCGAGGAGCCGTGACCCCACGAAAAGGAATCCCCAGATTTGCCTGATTGACAGGGTCACGTGTAGCAAGGTGTGGATCACGAGGAGCTCTTCACTGTGGAATTTTATTTGAACTTCGGCCAACCCTCTGCGAGAGCTGATCTAGAATGAGTTGCTCGCCTCCTCGTACGTAGTAAGCTACGGATACTCAGCACGCTTCTTAGCCCACATCTCTCGCTTTGACGATAGGATGCCACTCCCACCAAAAAAGGTCGCATTTGTGACTGGCGCGAACGGAATCAGCGGGTTTGCAATTGTTGAACATCTGGTGCGACAGCCGGAATCAGAATGGTATGCTGAAAATAAATGTTTAAGGCGCCCGAGAACAAGATTAACAACCCCAAGGTCTCATATCCTGGTGTCTTCCAGACGCCCCATGGTTGTTCCCTTGACCGACCCTAGAATTACATTCGTGGCCATCGACTTCCTCGACCCTGTTCCCAAGATAATGCAAGCTCTTTCAGCCTATGCGGAGGCTAAGGACATCACACACGCCTTCTTCACCTCATATGTACATGCAAATGACTTTAAGCTTCTTCGTGAAAAGAATGTTCCTTTGTTTAGGAATTTCCTCGAAGTCATGGACACCATGTGCCCCAGACTTGAGCGAATTTGCCTTCAGACTGGTGGAAAAGTGATAATCCCTGGACTCTGCACCTGCATCTGGGAGCCTATAGTGGCATAGGGCGAGACTGACGATATTGCCTAGAACTACGGCGCACATCTTGGACCCGCCCTCAATATCCCTCATCGAGAAGACCAGCCTCGCTCTGACGATCCTGACAACTTCTACTACCCGCAAGAAGACGACATGTTCGCTCTAGCCAAAGGGAAGAAATGGGGTTGGAATGTAATACGACCAAACGGGGTTATTGGCTTCACGCCACACGGTCAGTATTGCTCTACACTTCGATTCATGGTCACTAATGCCATTTTCTCTCTAGGTTCTGGCATATCTGAGGTTTTGTCAATGGCTGTCTATCTTTTGCTTGTCCGGGAACTCAACGAGTCGGCTGCGTGGCCTTGGAGTGAATTTATGTGGACGGGAGCAGACGACAAATCCTATGCGCCCGCCATTGGGCACATGTCGGTCTGGGCGACGACACAAGAACACTGCAAAAATGAAGCCTTCAACTGCGTCAATGGCGACATTATCATATGGAAGTACTTCTGGCCTGTACTAGCCAAACACTTCGGTATCAATGTATGTTTTTCCCCTTTTCCCCTTGAAACCGCACACAGACCACCACTAACGGGTCTATAAGGCTCCTGAACCTGTCTTCGATGATCCAAAACGGCCGAAGCATTTCGACATGGAAGCTTGGGCAAAAGACAAGAGGCCTGTGTGGGAGCGAGTGGTCAAGAAGTATGGCGGCAAGGTGGAGGCATTTGACTGGTGTTCTTGGGATTACCTCCCCTGGTGCATGGGAAGGACATGGTCCTCGCTTTCGTCAATGAACAAAGCTAGGAAGTTTGGCTGGACCCGCTTCGATGACTCCCAGGACACGTATCTGTCAGCGATCCGGTGCTTCGAGAATGCAGGTGTCCTCCCACGCATTCCGGCCCAGGTTAATGGAACATAACGAAGGACCATCTAGGTCATTATTAAAGTACCAGGATTTTGCTATTGCTAATATTGTACATATTTGGAAGAGCAAGGTACATGTCTTTCGAATAGAATAGACAGAACATGATAGAATTCGTGGACAAGAATATGATGTAGGTGTCTGCATGATTGTATCTAGCTGGCCTCTGCTCACGCTAGCGGTACCCGGATTTCAAAGGCGTCAGGTAGCAGACGAACAGCAAGGACCAGAATTGCTGAAACGAAATTTTGCGATCGGTCTTTGATAGTATTCATACGCTCTACCCTTCTCTCAAGATCTTTCCCTTGTAAATTTCCTCAGGCCAACAGGTCCTCCCCCTTCTATTCTACCTTGACCATGGCCGCAGTGTCCTAGGAGCTTTTTGTTAGCTCGTGTAGTGTTGAAGAGTCAACAATCTGCCGTGTGATTTTGGTTCGACCTACCATCCAGACCTTGTACAGCTTGATCCTCGGGTGACTTGTCTGAGTATCGACAAGAGAAATTCGTGCTGTGAACTCTCCTCTCTTTTTTTCGCCGCTAACATATCCTACTGTAACTTGACCAAGGACCAAAAGATCCTCTGCTGTCACACTGTCGGTGAATACTTTGAGGATTTCGTGCCGCCTGGTGGCAATTACTTTCCACGCGTTATCCCTCGACCGTCTCAGGGCTGCATCATGCCGACTTAGTCTCTGAGTGCGCTTCTGAGGCGGGCAAGTAATCTGCACCCACCTTCGGTTCCTTCGAAACGGTGATGGCCATCTATGGCACCATCACTGGCAAAGATCTCTTCGGCGAGTCTACCACCTGCTTCAGGGGCATTCGTGTCCATGATCGAGAAGAACTTGTCCACATGCTGTTTGACGGCGTCGGGAATCTGTATTGACGGCCACTCTGTCAAGGCCGTGTTGATACCCATCGTGAGGGTTCCCGATGAATATGCTGTTTTTGAAAGTCAATGATTTAATGATTCAATGAAGCAAGACCAGCAAATGGCAAGCGGCAAATGTCATGAGAACGTACTTCGTTTACGTCTGGGACCTGTGCCTCCAATTTACGCGTGACCTCGAGTTTTCTGAGGACAATAGTTGCCCAGGCATGCAATCTCGGAAAACACCACACAGTTCATGGCACTGTTCCACGCCGTTCGGTCTACGCTGACCAGCATCCGGCTACAGTATTTCTGGAGTATTCCAACTGTCATGGGTCGGCACTGTCTGTGTGAGAGTGTGCAGTCTACATGTGACACGGCAAGATTGATTTCGGAGTTTCTGCCTAATGGGTGCCATCTTCGCCGCCCCCACCGCGGATTTCGTGGCTCAGTGACTACCGACGCGATGAGGCGATCGCCGACTTTCTCAAGGGACTGGGGTACAACGATTGTGCCGGCGAGCTTTTGAACGGACTGTCCATCTTTGGATAGACTCCGCGTCTTTTACTCGACGTCGCCATCTCCGCACTTACAATCTGCTTTCCATGTTGTTAAGTTTTGTGATATCTGAATTTGACGACAGAGCTACCTTCCCTAATACTTTGTCGCCATGGCTCCTTCGAAATTCACTCGCTTATTGAGGTTCAGCAATGCTGAGGGGACAGTGTTCTTCGGCGAACTGGGAGACGAGGTAGCCAATGCAGAAGCCCTGATTGGACGTTCCGTCCGTGTTTACTCAGGCAATTCGCCCTGGGAAGGTGAATTCACTCTTACTGAGAAGAGGGAAAAGATCGCACAGGTTGGTAGGCTTGTGTGCACATGCGAAGGCGTGGAAGTGCACAATTTTGGAGGAGAAAGCAGCTGACAGCGTGCAGTTGTTGAGCCCCGTTCCTTATGCGCCACTCCTGTACGGAGTTGGGTACAACTACAAAGCTCACGCCGCAGAGTCCAGTGTAAGTGACGATGGCTCGCTACTGCATGTACCTGGCTGAAACCCCGCTACAGCAAAAAGTCCCTGAGTCAGAGTATCCCGTTTGCTTCACCAAAGCGCCAGGTGAGTGGCAGCCCTGAAAATCCGAGCTCTGGATCGACGGCGTCGTAACTGACTGAACCTATCTCAAGGTACCCTTGCCGGGCCGCTAGAAGACGTCCCATTCAGCGAAGAATTACTTTATATGGATTACGAGGTATTTCGAGCTGCATGACCCAAGCCACATGAGCGAACCTTCCCGTGGGCTGTGAGAGCTGACTCGTCTTTGACTCGCATAGGGCGAGCTCTGTGTGGTTATTGGAAAACCGTTGAAGAACCTCAAAGAAGGGGAGGACCCTACGCCCTATATCGCAGGCTACACGGTCGGAAACGATGTGTCGTCAAGATACTGGCAGAGAGCCGAGCGATCTGGAGGTCAGCATGCGCAGGGCAAGTCGTTCGACAAATTCGCTCCCATCGGTCCCGTGCTTGTGTCCACATCAGCCATCCCGGACCCTAACAAGCTGTACCTGAAGACATGGGTCAACGGAGAACTTCGACAGGAAAGCTCGACAGGGCTACTGATTTATAGCATTCCCACCGTTCTGAGGTATCTGAGCCGTGGTGTCACTCTTCAACCTGGAACTGTACTCATGACTGGAACTCCAGCCGGCGTGGCTGCCTCTTTCAGACCTCAGAAGTGGCTACAGGACGGCGATGTAGTCGAAGTAGAAATATCCGGGATTGGCAAAATCAAGAACAAAATGGTTCTTGAGAAATGAGTGGCGGCCGGTCAGGGCATGTGCTGATCGTGGCACGGAAACACGACGCACGTTTCACGAGACGAGCGCCCGTACTTTTCTGTATCTAGACTTTTTCTACGTTCGTTCCAAGTAGTAGCTGTAGACAAAAAAGAAGGCTTTCGAGCATATTTGGTAGGACCTTCTACGTGGAAACACACGCCGGACTGTCAATTGAATTCCAATCACGGGTGATTTGCCGTGTTATCGACTGGGGTTCCGGACGTCCTTAACTGTCAGACTGAAGGATAGTTGCAGAGTAAATGTGCAATACACCGTTTCTCCGATAATCCGGCAAAAAATTGTGTTACGCACATTGACCTAAGAGGGACGCCTGTGCGAGCCGCTCATCTCGTCTTCTGGCCACAACATTTCTGCATTTTCCGGAAGCATGACCCCGGTGTGGTCACTTGGCGAACCGTAAGTCAGTTAGTTCCTGGGAATTACCGTTTAGTAGCGTGATGGTCCAACATTCCGACTCTGCAAGTCATTTGCCGGCCCCAGGTCCGCTTTGTATGGGGACAAGATGCATCTCCCTACCATAAAAAGTGTTGCGACCACGATTTTTTCTACCTCTCTGACTTGTACAGCCTTTCCACAAGAGAGAAATTTGTTGTTGGACCACTAGTCCTCACCATGGCTATTCTCTACGACCTCGGAATTCGTCTCGTCGCGTTGACGTCGGTGGCCTTCATAGGAGCCGTGGTGTATAGCTACATCAAAATGCTGATGTTGCGGCCCAAACTCCCTCCAGGACCCTTTCCATTGCCCATAATTGGGAACATGCACTTATTGAAGTCGTCTAAGCCCTGGCTGCAGTTCGACAAATGGAGCCAGGAGAATGGTGAAGGTCTCCTGACAATTTGGATTGGCCGCTTTCCTATCATTATTTGCAATGATGCTTGGTCGGCCTCGGAACTCATGGAAAAGAGATCACATATGTACTCCTCCCGACCACGATACGTTATATTCGGGGACGTCACTGGCCAGCAGCACTGTAACCAAGTCTTCATGCCTCACAATGACCACTGGCGTCTCCAGCGAAAGATCATGGTGAGTTATTCTTCCATAGATCTCAAGTGAGGGCACACGTCTGACTCGTTTGTTTAGCATACCGCGGTAGGCTCCCAGGCATTGAAACCCTACAAGAGTTTCCAAGAAGACGAAGGCAAGGTTCTCATGAGGGAACTTTTGGACAGCCCAAAGGATTTCGCACTCTACTTCGAGCGATATGCCTGCTCACTTGTATCAATTCTGGGCTATGGGAGACGGATTGACTCGAAAGACGACTACATGCTCCGATTCGCCGTGTCCATGATGGATGGGATTACCATGATGCAGGTTCCCGGACTATACTGGCTCGAGGCCATTCCCGAACTGCAGTATCTACCCTCTTGGATTTACGCCCTGCCCAACAGGCTTCGAAAACGCAGCCAGGCCGTCGCTAAATACTGGTGGGGACTTGTGTCGGAGGGTGCACAGGCACGAGAAAACAACTTTGCCAAAACGCTCGTCAGGTCCAAGGAAGAGCAAGGTCTAACAGAGCTGGACATTGCTGAGATGATCGCTAATACCATCGGCGGAGGGCTCGACACAACGTCGAGCACCTTGCACACTCTCGTTCTGGGACTTTGTGTCTTCCCCGAGGCTCAGAAAAAAGCTCACGAGGAACTCGACCGTGTGGTTGGACAAGATCGTTCGCCCACCTGGGACGACCTCGACCAACTTCCATATTGTGCGGCTGTCCTTAAAGAAGCTATGCGATGGCGAAGTGTTACGGCTATGGGAGGGTTTGCTCACTGTCCCGAGAGGGATGATGAATACCGTGGATACCATTTCCCTGCCGGCATCGCTGTCTTCGGCAATCTCTGGGGCATCCACCGAAATCCCAAAGACTTCCCAGAGCCCGACGTGTTCAACCCTGATCGCTATTTGAAAGAAAATCAACGCCAGTACCCGAATTCACGAGGCCATAACGCTTTTGGATGGGGTCGCAGAAGCTGTAGTGGACAACTCTTTGCTGAACAGGGTTTGGCAATGACTGTTGCACGCATGCTATGGTGCTACAATTTTGAGCCAGGCTTGGATGAATTTGTAAGAGGACAACGACACCCTTAAATATGGTGGACTACGAGTGGCTAACACCTCGACTAGGGCAACCCTGTCGAGCTAGACATCTGGAATTACACCGACAACGAAAACACCCAGCCACGACCCTTCCCCGCGAGATTCCTTCCGCGTAGTGAGACGATCAGAGACATCATTATACAGCAAGCTCAGGAAGCCAGAGTACGGCTTCAAGTCTACGAAAGCGAGGCCAAGACGAAGTTCTCACTGTAGTCCCGTATCATGTTCGATCGCGATTGTCGACGGGATAAGTCAGGATCTGAGCACCCGTCAACCACCAGCGACGTTTACCGTTGCTGACTACATAAATGGGCCGGACTGATGCATTTGCATCTTGAAAGAATCACAAGGTGACCGGAAACCTGTATGGGGCCTGCTGTCAACATGTGGGTCCAGGGTTTGAGAAAGGCAGAGAGCCAGTGCACGTGCCTCCATAGTCTTTTGTCATCCAGATTTCATCCATCAAAACTCGGAATCTCGAACTTGAGCCTAACTGCGGTGTGGCGTGTGTACTCAAGCCACGGAATAATCTGAGAAACCGCTAAACATTACGGGAATTCTCCGTAAAAGGCCGGTATTAATATGTGAATGGTATCAGATACGCCGACGATTTTCCGTTCTCGAGCCGCTAAGAACCCCATGGGGTTCCCCTGAGTGTCAATCTATGTCATTTTGATCCGAGATCTTGCCACGGAGACCGAGACCAGTTCTTCCCATGCTGTCCAGCATCGACACGACCTCCGCGGCCCTCAAAAGATTGCCTCTGCTTTGGGAAATGCATCTTTCGAGCTTGGAGAGGTTATCGAGTTAGATATCCACTACAACGTTCATCTTGCGGGTGATATCGCGTGCATTTTGCCCGCTTCCACTTTCGCCGTAGACACTCTCGGGGTCATTGATCTACCCAATAAATTCGAGTTAAAACCACGCATCTCTTTCTATGTCGCTCTATACCTCCTTTTGCCTTTTCCATCTAGTCAAGCAGCTAGATCTCTCGCCACGATGTTTCTGATCGTAGCTCCTCTGGCAGCGGCCTTATTCGCACTTGTGCTACAAGGATATCGATACTTCTGGCGATCTCAGCCAACCGGCACTAGGCAGCTTCCGGGACCTAAAGGTGCGTAAGGGTGACCAGTACTGCCAAGAGCGATATTGTCCCTGGTGAATGTTGCTGATGACAATCACACCAGGCAAACCACTCATTGGGAGCGCTCAGGATCTTGGGTCGGACTACTTTTGGATAAAGTTCCAAGACTGGGCCAAACAATATGGGCCGATCTATCAGTACAAGGCATTTGGCAAGGTCAACGTGGTGATATCGACGGAGAAGATTGCCAATGACCTGCTCAGAGAACGTGGGAATATCTACAGTTCGAGAGAACAGTTGACCATGGGCTCGGAGCTGCTCAGCGACAACAAGAAGGCCTTGTTCCTTCCCTACAACGGTAGGCCTCTCATGCTAGCTCGATCGAGCTTGATGGACTGACTCAGGCATAGACACATGGCGTCGGTATCGCAAATTCCAGCATCATGTCACCATGCCTAAAATGGCCACATCTTATCAGCCTCTGCAACTCCAAGAGTCTGCTCGCCTCGTGCACGACCTTGTCCTGAACCCCAAGTGCTATCAGACGCTTTTTCAACGTTATGCTGCCGGACTGATTCTTCGCCTAACTTATGACCTCCGGATCGAATCGGGTGAAGAGGATGTAGTTCGTCGAGTGTACGAGAATCAGCTCGCCGTGGAGCGCATCGCATCTCCAGGCCAATATCTTGTCGACCTAATCCCGTCGTTGAAGTACCTTCCAGACTGGATTGCGCCGTTCAAAAGAGAGGCAAAGGCGCATCGCAAGCGAGAGATCTCGTTGTTCTGCGGCCTCGTGGACGATGTCCGAAAAGACGTTGAAAAAGGAAAAGCAGGCCCAAGTTTCACGAAGAGTTGGCTGGAGAAAAAGGAGGAGTACAACCTCTCCGAGCTCGAAGCCAGCTATATCCTCGGCGGCCTGTACTCTGCCGGTGCATCTACTACTGCGTCCGGTGCAATGAGCTGGGTGTTGTGTATGGTCTTGTTTCCGGAGTGGTTGAAGAAGGTACAAGATGAGCTGGACCGCGTCGTGGGCTCGGCACGGCTCCCGACCTTTGACGACCTTCCAGAGCTACCGACAGTAAGAGCCGTTGTGAAGGAGACCTTGCGGTTCAGACCCGTCACCGCTGGTGGTAAGTTGAAATCATATTCCTCCGCCAGTGCCCTACCTACAGCCCTCCTGGTTTCTTGAACGCCGCCACCAGGGGTTCGACTGACAGTGCCATTAAATCACAGGTATTGCCCATAAAACGACAGCGGACGATGTCTACCAAGGCTACTTTATTCCCAAGGGCGCAATTGTTCATGGAAATATATGGTGGGTCAGAACACTTTTGGCATTCCACCTTGAACCTGACTAACATGCCTGGCTTACCAGGGCCATTCACCACGACCCAGAGCTCTATCCAGATCCCGAAACCTTCAACCCCGACCGATGGTTGAACCCAAAGTTCCCGACGTATCGTGAACCTCTCACACAATACCCGAATCTGCAGAACTACTCCGCCTTTGGCTTTGGACGTCGCTTATGCCCCGGCGCCAATATAGCTGAGAGAAGTCTCAATATCATCGTCGCGCGCACAAGCTGGGCGTGTAACATCAAAAAGGCCGTGGACCCCAAGACTGGCCAAGAGATCACGCCTCCTTCTTATGACTGTGAGTCCTCTCAAAACACCCTTCATGTACTTCCTCGTCTCAGGCAATACCGCCCAGTCTAGAACGGAGATGCCCTTTTTGCCGCGACAGAATCGTTTTGTGATGCATCGGGAGAATCTCAGAACTGACGAAGTACATTCCACAACAGACGTGAAGGCACTCAACACCGAACCTCATACTTTCCCATTCGACCTGTCCTGTCGCTCGCCAGAGCGCTGGAGTCTCCTCGAGGAAGAAGCCCGTAAAGCTAGAGAGGAGTTGAGGATGCCCGCGGACAAGTAAACTCATAAAGACTACAAGGACTGATGGAGCCATTCTCAATTCCAAGAGCCAACGTAATCTATATCATGGTCTAGAAATGCGAGGCAAGTTTGAGGCCAGTGCAGTCACTCTTTGATAGTGTTGGCACTTGTGCCAGAAACACATTAAAACAATAAAATTGAATAGTGTTAGACAATGGCACATGCCTCGGATGTCCAAGACCCTGTTCAAACAATCACCGAGAGTTGCAACTCTACACAAAATCCGAATTACACAGGGAGCAACTCAGCTGGTGGGGTATTTACCGGCAACCTGGTATTGCGTCAAAAGGCGTGTCTAGCGGGATGAAGTTCATTTCACATGACTGATGTGCCATAAGGTCGGGCCTTGCGGCCAACGGCAAAGACTTGCCATCATAACATCCTAAAGAAGTCCATCGCAATTGAGGGATCGAGTCTATGAATGGCCTAGCCCCACAGCCATAATAGATTTGGGGACCTTATCCTACTAACTACAACTGGGTCTTGGCTGCAGAGGTTTCGGCAATGGGATTTTTACCAGAACTCCCCCCACTTATTGCCGGCACCAAGCCCAAAGAAGAATGTACCGTACCCGCACTTCCTTCCACGATTAGACTCAGACCAAGTAAAATGTTTGGGTTCTGGTGACTGGGGGCAAATGCCACCGAGCATGCGCCGCGAACCTGCACAGGGCCGGCTGTAGATCTCGTAGGGGCGTTTTGATATATACATTCCAGAGGCACACGACGCGGTGCTGGGTAGTGGTTACAAGCTACGAACCATCTTCACCGAACAGTGCCATGGGAGACTATCAAGATTTGCTGTCGCAAGCCGGACGGTCGCAGTCCCTTTCCAATAGATTTCACTCCGAATCGTCGCCGTCGTCACAAGCAGAGCTGGACGCATCCAACATCAAGATCACGTTGACCAAGCAACCACGCTCCGTGCCCGCGCCAGGGTCAGCCGAGGAGAAGTCGCAGAAGGTCTGTACGGATCATATGGTGTCGGCGCAATGGACTCTTGAGAAGGGCTGGGCGCAGCCGCAAATCACGCCCTATGGGCCGCTCGCCATCATGCCCACGGCTAACGTGCTGCACTATGCGACTGAGTGTTTCGAGGGCATGAAGTTGTACCGGGGCCTCGACGGCAAGCTACGTCTATTTCGACCTTATGCCAACTGCCTGCGCATGTTGACCTCGGCGCAACGAATCTCCTTACCGGGCTTTGAACCCCAGGCCCTGCTGGGCATGATCAAAAAGCTGTGCGCGCTCGACGGGCCCAAGTGGCTACCGCAAGACCGCCGCGGCAGCTTTTTGTACATTCGACCTGCGATGATTGGCACCGACTCTTGTCTCGGATTCGAAGTGCCCAAGGAGGCCCTGCTGTTCGCCGTGATTTCGTACTGGCCTCAGCCCGCGAAACCGACAAAAGGTAAAGGACTGCGTCTCTTCGCCAGCCGCGAGGACGAGTTGCGCTCCTGGCCTGGTGGTACCGGGTTCGCCAAGATTGGTCCCAACTACGGCCCTGCGCTGCTCGCCCATGGCGTGGCCAAGAAGATGGGCTATGACCAGGTTCTCTGGCTCTACGGACCGGACTGTCAGCTCACCGAGGCGGGATCTTCTAATGTGTTCCTGATCCGGCGGTCACAGGACGGCCACCTACAGATGATTACAGCGCCCTTGGACGAAAAGACCATCCTTGCCGGCGTCACGAGGCAGAGCGTCCTTGACCTCGCCCGGGAGAAGTTCGCCAAGGACCAAGATGTCGTGGTGGAAGATGCTACAGGCCCTCAGCACGTTGCGGCTGTGGAGGTCATTGAGAGGAATTACACAATGTCCGAGCTGCTCGCTGATCTGGAAAAGGGCAACCTCCTCTCCGTGTTTGTGGTGGGCACGGCCGCGTTCGTCACCGCCGTTTCGCAAATCGACTTCAGAGGGCAAAACATCCAACTGGAGACCGATGCTACGTATCATACCGAGCTTCTCCGCCAGTGGATGTATGATATAATGTATGGAAAGGTATCAAGTGAGTGGGCAGACATCATAGAAGAAGAAGGTTAGATAGAGTAAGTGTTAAGAGGCAGATGCGTGAGAATGGGTTTCAACGACGATTGTCAGCGAAATTCGACTTAGTGACTTGTCGCAATCAAATGTCTATCAACAGGTTACTGGCCAGCGCAGCTGTATGGCCATCAGAAGCTCCGTTCCGTCAGAGCTTCCGGTCGCAAATTCATCAAGCATTTGTGCCGTGCACTTGCGTAGTTCGACTTCAAGACAACTTCTCCTGAACCATTTGAATAATGTACAAACTGAGAAAAACGTCCAAAATCCATACTGGACTGACAACAGATGCTTCACTGATTGGATATGCACATAGCAGCGTTATATATATGTTTCATAGCAATGGCGTTATACCAATGACCCTGTCATGACGATCATGCAGCGTTTTCCGTTGGTGAATCAGTCCACCATCTCAGAGCGCAACAATTTGTAGATAGGCCGACTGTTGTGCAGAATGAAAAGCTGCAGTGCAGTGCCACACCGTGTCAAGTGACATGTCGACTTGACCCCGATTTTAGAAACTGTGCTCGTTTCAAGATGCTCTGTACCCATGTAGACGGATACCCTTTCAGTTTTAATGCCTCCAATGGCTCAGCTGTGTCAAGCACTTGCAACAGATCTAAGCACGTCAGAAACAGGACCCGCCCATGCCAATGCCAGCACTCACCAAGGCAAAATTGTCCAATCCCCCAGTATTCTGAAAATCGCCGCAAGACCAAGTCGAGAAGGTTGCCGTCGAGAGCTGCAAGAGCTTCGTCCCGTACATCCGATTCGAGAAGAGAGCGATCGGCGGAGTGTGCTGCGGCTGGGCCAACAATGGCAGCGGTGATAAAAGGCGATGCGAGGGCAATGAAATCAGGCGTCCACATACGTACTACGCTGATCTGGTCTCTCAACACCTTGCCACATTGCTGGGCAGGGCTCCCAGCAGACATCTCGAGACTGGTCGATTCATCCTGGACAGGCGATACATCGGACATTATAGAGCCTTGATTTTTCAGCCCTTCGGCGTAGAGTCCAAGATTGACGATGATATTATTGCTAGTATGAAAAAGACGGGTCAGACTTAGATCTCCCGTCACACAGCGTGGCGTTTGTGCTCTTACCTATGGATGATGAAATGCATGGCGATGATCCAGTTCTTGTCCCTGAAACTGTTTTCTGCAAAGTCCAAATTTTTCGATTTCATCCTCAAGTTTGGAGGTAGACTGAGGCAAAAGCAGTGGATGGCGGACTGAAGGATTTTGAGATTGCCCAAAGAACGATCTCGCTTTTCAAACTCCTCTTGTGCCGACCGTAGAAGAAAATTGCCCACGAGATACCACGCGTATGCATCTTTGTTTTCGGTGTCCAAAAGACTCCTCCAGGCGGCTGCAGGACCTTTCGATGATATGGGCGCCGATCCCACTGGTCGGAGATCAAACCAAGCTTCGTCGGACACTGGCAGCCAAACGTCTGATCTCTTCATGTCAAGGCTAAATGGTCGAGCTCCAATCACGCTTGCGAAATTGTCCATCTGGAAAATGACCCACCATGCTCGTCGTCGTTCCTCTTTGTCGCACCAGTCCTCTACGGATATCTGAGCGTCTGGAGGTAAGGATTCGCTGTCGCGGTCGACCTGATGAACACATAGCGCGTATGCCAGCCGACAACAGAGTCCGACTCCCACCCAAGCTCGAAATGACGGGCGTGACGACAGCTGGTAATATGTAAGAAGTATGCAGCCGTGTAGATATTTCATGGTCAGATGGTCTTCGTCCTCATCCCGAGAGCCTAGATCACATAGGGCTTGAGCTTTTTTGGCGAAGGCCTCCCCCCGCATCTTCGGTTCGCAAGTCCAGAAGTCCGTCTTCTCTGAGAATCGGGCTGCTAAAGCGAAGATACCATTCAGCAAGAGAGCAGACTCAAGGTCGAGGTTCTGGTAGCGTTGGTGTTCAACTTGACCTGCTGCTGGTAACGAGGCAAGAAATCTCGGGCGATGAAGAAGAGGCAGCGCTGGTTGTATTTTTTGGAAGTAGAGCTCTAACCTGACATCCTGTTAGGAAGCGACTTCACAGATGCTGATCTTACATACAGATGCTCCGCGATGGCGGGAGGAATGTCGATCGAAAAGAGGTCAGGCTTGTCATAACTCGCCAAAGTGTGCACAGACTCTGCCGGCTCGCTGGCGGCAGCAAAGGAGCGCCTTCCGTGGACGTCGTCGCTCCCGAGGGAACCCTCGACAACCGTACCATTACCAATAGAAGGGGCCATGGATATTGGGGTTTGATTCAGGTGGTGTGTCTCTTCAGCTCCTTCAGCTCCAAGCCAGCCGGGAGTGAATATTCGATATTGATCTGCACCTTGCGTGAGACCTTGGAAATATACGTCGAACATCGGTTCCGGCCCAAGCGGTGAAAGAGAAAGGTCGAAGGGCATATTGTCAACATTCATACAATCAGACCCTTGTTGTGCTGGTGGCACATCTCGCGACTGTCCACTGCGGTTCACCTGCTCTGACTGATCCAGATTGTTGATGGTGTTCGGAGATTTCTGCGTGGCAGACGGCGGCAAAACAGTCCTTGGGGGTGAGCCCTCCGTCGACAACAAGTAAGTCCCTGAGTCAAGGAGAATGATTAGCTTCCTCGCTTTCCAAGCCCGATGCAGACATGAAAATGTCAAGAAATCAGGTGTGTCAATAAGTAGAGCGCAAACACACCGGGACCATTTTCTGAAAACTTCGAGAAGTGATCTGATTTCTTCCGTGCTCGATCTTTGCGCCGGATATATCGTTTCCGCCCTGTTGGATATACGCACTCGATACTAACACGATTGCACAAAGAACAGGCTGGACGTTGCATGTCACCTTGACAAGGGAGAAGTTTCAGCGAGCTGTCCTGGTGCGACCGAATGTTGAGCCATACTGACATTTTATCTTCTTTCTGCATTCAAATTGGTTGAGTAGCCATCGCCAAAGGATGGAAATGGTGAGACTCACCTTGCGCATTCTTCGCAGGCTCGCGAAGCGAGATCTTTGCGTCCACTGGGAGCGGCAAATTCTTTGAATTGAGCATCAAAGGCTTGGAAAGCCTCCATCGAAGCATCATTAATCGAAGGATCTCTGGATGATGCCAAGGGAAGAGGCCACTCAAGACGGAACCCAGGGAAATCAAGGGCGCAAGGCGTAACTGGGATGAGTGGGAATTCAAGTCAAAAGTGGCCCACGGTGGTGTGGTTGGACGGGCGGGGAACAATGCGGACAAGACGATGGGAGACATGGGCAGATGCATGGAGCATTCAAGGGAACAAGATGCAGTTGGTGGACACCGAGTCGGTAGAGAGAAACAGGCGCGGGCGGGCTGCAACCTGCATGCCGCTCCCTGCGCAGACTTTCCATGACGCACCCACCCACCCACCCACCATTCATCCCGCCATCCCTCCATCCCTCCATTTTCGCCCGTTCCTCTTGATTCTCTCGCTTCTTGTACCTACGGACTTCAAGCCCAATCATATCCTTGCTTCCTCTAGTCGAAATCCTTCGTCGCCGCCAATCACACCCACCACAGTTGTCAGAAAATATCAGCTCTTCTCATCTTACTGGGAACACACGCGAGCGAGCGAGACAAGTCGTCCCTCTTTCCGGCAGCACTCGGCCATGCGCTTACAGTGTCTGGTCTCTACCTTGTGACCTTTTTCCCTTTCTTTCGGTCGCTCAGATCATGGAGATCTGAAGAAGCGAGAGGGAAAGGTACAAATCCCGCTTCGCTTCGCCTTGCCTTGCCATCCTCGCTCTTGTTACATATTACCCAGTAAGGCGCAACAGGTCGAAGCGTGCGCAACTGGATCATGCGCCAACGATCGTCAAGATGAACACCACCCACGATGTCCGTATGCACGACGCCCGCACACTGCCACACGAGGACAGCAAATCGTCCGGCATTCCTCTGCGCAATCCCATTCATCCCTCGGTGATTGACAAGCTCGATCCCGCTTTTGTGAAACTATACAATGATTATATCGCGAACGGACCCCCCTCATCCACCGACCTGACAGTGGTGCGCCAGAACTATTCAGCCTTATATTCATATGCTGCAGCACCGCCATCTGGTGTAGGAGGAATTGGGGAAACCCAAGTACCAGGTTGGAATAAATATCCTGGGGATATCAATGTACGGGTTTACGTCCCACCGGGTGAAGAGCCAGGGCAGCGCAAAGTGTGGCCCGTCCATTTCAATTTCCATGGCGGAGGTAACTGAGTCCATCTACAACCGTGTTGACCATTATCTTTGCTGACACTCTGGTCAGGCTGGGCAGTCGGTGACCTGGAGACCGACGCACACATCTGCCACCACATCTGCGCTGCCGTTCCCTGTTGCGTTATCGATATTGAATACCGGCTGATCCCCGAGTATCCCTTTCCCATCGGCATCATGGACAGTCTCACAGCTGTCGGACACATCCTAGCCAACCACAAGACATTCTCCATCGATTCTACAAACATGACCTTTGGCGGAGAATCCTCTGGGGCGACCATCGCTCTGATTCTAAACCATCTGTTCCGTGACGGTGGGTTTGGAGACAAATTGAAGGGCGTGGTTGTTGCGACACCTACTATCAGTGACGTAAGGAAGTACGCAACACCAGACATGAGCCCTTGGCCGAGTATGAGGGAAGCCGAGTTCGCTCCCCTCCTCAACTGGGAGAAATTGAAATGGTTCGATACTTTCAAGTGGATGTCCTTGTCGAGTCAACACCTGGGAACAAAGCCCAAGGAACAGAAGCGAGATATATCGTGGTTTGCCGATGCCATGAATGCTCCAGATTTCAAGAACTTGGCTCCCATCACGTATGTGGCCACGGCAGAGATTGACCCTTTGAGGGATGAGGCAGAAGCATATGCTAAGAAAGTTGAGGAAGCGGGCAACAAGATTATCCTACGAAGGTTCAATGGCATGCCACACCACTTCATGCACCTGGATAGAGCGCTTCCCCAAGCTCGAGACTATGTCCAGGATGTCATATCGCATATCCGCCAGTGTCTCTATCCTCCTTCTGATCCGCCCGCGATGAAAACGCCGCCGGAAACCTGAGAGGTCTCCGTGGTCACTCACTGGATACGAAAATCTGTGCGCCAACTGTGGCTTCTTCTCAAATCTAGTGTCATGAACCAGCCGATCATATCCAGCAGTATGCCGAAGTGTTACCAGGTCGTGCCGTGGCACCTATCTCACCATTTCCCACTCCTGATGGCAGACGCCGCCTCAAGGATGGATATTGTTAACGACTATTATGTATTGAGGGAGAGCCAATTATGGCTGCTCATCCCATCTGACCCATGCCACAGCTCCCCCTTGCATATTGGCAGACTCGCCGCCAATTATCTTTCTTCAACACCGCGGATTGAGGCGTGGCCAATCCGGCAGCTCGAAATCATAAGTCCAACTGACTGCGCTCATCCCCGACAAGGCTCTTGTCTGCGGTCGGTGCTCCCGTCGCTTTATAGAGCCTTTGCTTGAGTAAGACGATATCACATTGTCTGCGCTCTCACCCTGGCCGCCAACGCAGGTCTCATTTCCATCCCTTTCTGAGAAGATCGACAAGCAGCGATAGCCACATATACTTCTCCCTAGCGAACATCCGCTGAGTATCCCCCATGAACGACGGGCGCCAGCAAATTGCAGCGCGCTATTTATCTAATAACGAAAACCAAAGACTACTCGACAAGCAATATGATGAGATAGATTCGGTTTGATATGAGGGCTACATATGGGGCGGATCTGCTCAGACAATCGGGTCTTATGTTTGAACATGATGATAGACTTTTTGCTTCAACGTAATGTATTAGTAATAATCTTCAGAGAATTTGACTCTGATGCAAACACAGTCCTGCTCAATATGTATATCCCATGTATGGTAGCTGTACGCAGATATCTGTATCTCAAGGCCTCGACGCTCTCAATGAGATGCGGGGTTTATAGTAGCTGAGTGGAGACACGGTTCAACTTCGGAAGATCGTCGACGCGTCGACGCGTCTGTGCATGGGGCCACGCGACTAGCACAGATAATTAATTGCTCTTTTGTCATTGACCGCAGTCTCAGCGAACACCTCTGAACAAGTGAGCATTGCTTTGATACACATAGTCACGATGCCAGAGAGACCTCCATTCCCTGGCCGCCCTGCGCAACCCCCCGGCCCTACCTACCTCCACTATTCGCCCGATGGTCAGAGGTTGACCGTGGCTGGCATTGGAGACTTTGCTCGGTCCTTCAGGACTAACGACAACGGCGAACCCGACTTGCTACCCTCGACTCATGCAGAGACATTTGCTATTGCTTCAGGAGTACGGTGCCGCCAGCGGAAAGAACATTGACAGGGTGAAGTCGGCTGACTGGGAACAGAATGACTACGCCATCTTTGGCTGCGAAGATGGAACAGTGTGTGAATATGCAGTCCCGTCTGGAGACTTCAAACAGATGCTTGTCAGGACCACACTTCCTATTAGAGATATTGCACTCTCCCCGGACGAAGAATGGGTAGCAGTGTCCAGCGAGTAGGTCAATTCTCGTTCATACCTGGCAGACATCTCTGACTTCTCTAGCGAGCTTGAAATCAAGATCGTCAATCGAAACGACATTGAGCGAATGTTCATCCTGCGCGATCACCCAAAACCAATAAAACACATAACATACGACCACTCTGGCAAATATCTAACCGCGTCCTGCACTGATGGCGTCATCTACGTCTACGACATGAGTTCCGCCGAGCCCAAGCTATCCCGTACGTTCGACGGCGTTATCCCTCGACTTGAAACGGCTGAAACAGCCACTTCCCGCTGCGTGTGGCATCCTGACGGAAGGGCTTTTGCTTGTGCAACAGCAACAAGAGATATCCAGGTCGTCTCAGTCGAGGACGGTGCACACCAACGGACGTTCTCGGGAGAGCACAATGCAGAGATAACAGCACTGGCATGGTCACCGAATGGCGCCTTGTTAGCCTCGGCAGACGTGGAGTATCTCATTATCTGGGACACCAAAACACAGAAGCCATTGAAACGGTTCAATTACACCAACATCCTCAATGTAGCGTGGCAGACTCACAGCGAGAACATCTTCAATTGGACGACTTCGAACGGTGAAGTCTTCATCATTCCGGAGTTTCTCAAAGACGAAGCCCACGTCAAGTTGCTCAAAGGACCCAAAGTCGGGGCTCCCTTTTTCCACGATCCGCTGCTTGAGAGAGCTGCAGTCGTGAATGGCCGGAAACCACTCGTCAATGGTCAAGCAAAGCGGGCAACTACTCCTGACAGCCTCGACGAGCTTCTCGGACCGGAAGAAGAATACGATTGGATAGAAGACGACGATGGTGCAGGGTATATCAACGAAAACGGCAAGAGGACCAATGGACATCTTGGAGACATAACACACTCTTTGCCAAAGCG